GTTTTTCTTCATTGTAAAGAGAACCATAAAGGCTTAAACTAAACAAATATTTCTTGTTTATGTAAATTGAAAACTGTGTGTGTTAAAAGGGTGCTCCATAAAAAACGATGAGTTCATGTCCTTTGTAGGGACAAGGATGAAGCTGGAAACCATCACTCTGAGCAAACTGTCACAAGGACAGAAAACCAAACACTGCATGTTCTCACTCATAGGTGGGAAATGAACAGTGAGAACTTGGACTCAGGGCAGGGAATATCACACACTGATGTGACGGAGTGGGGGGAAGGGGGGAGGGATAGCATTGGGAGAAATACCTAATGTTAATGACGAGTTGATGAGTGCAGCACACCAACATGGCACATGTATACGTATGTAACAAACCTGCACGTTGTGCACATGTACCCTAGAACTTAAAGCATAATAAAAAAGAAAAAAAGAAAAAGAGTGCTCCAATTTAGTTACCTACTTCTTAGGTACAGGGGCAGTATCCGGCAGAGTGTTACCTCTGGAGAGTGGGAGAATGAAGTTAAGGCTGGACTTGACCCACAAGGACAGCTTCCCAAATCCAGTGTTAAAACAAAATAGTATTTTGTATAATTTTCTCACAAAAAGTAAAATACTTCATCATTATTCAAAAGTACCGCTTCAGCATCACTTAGTCAAAATGCTTGGAATCAGAAATGTTTTGGATTTCTAGCTCTTTTTGGATTTTTGAATATTTGCATTATACTTAGCACCTTAAATCCCAAAATTCAAAATCTGAAATGCTCCGAAGAGCATCTCTTTTGCACTTCATGTCAATGCTCATAGAGTGTTGGATTTTGGAGCATTTCAGATTTCAGATTTTTGGATTTGGTATGCTCAACCTCTAGTGAGCTTTTACGATGGACCTCTACTAATTTGTAATTTGTTTAAGGCTATAAATTGAGCAGTAAGATTAGATTAGAAATCATTTATACAATAAAAAGTCTCATGCCAAGAAGTTTAAAAGGTGATGTAAGTAGTTTTAAAGATTCTCCCAAAGGTAAAGAAGGCTTTAGGCAGGTCTTACCCCCCTGGCTCTGCCCTTTGTGAGCTCTGTAAAGCTAGATGAAGCCCGCTTATCTAGTGTTTAATCCCAGTACTTTTTTTTTTTATTGAAGCAAAATATTTCTGATTGTGGCTTAAGCTACTTGTTTTTTCTCTTCAGGATTCTGTGGAAAATAAAGGAAACCATGCTTCATATTAACTGTGCCTCAAGAAGTCAGTTAGTCACTCTGTGCCTTAGTTTCTCTCTTTCCTTCAAGTGACTCAGGACATCGTTTTAATGTGAACTAGAGACATTTACACATGCCCATTTAACTTCATAGAAACAAATGAGAAAAGGTCACTGAAAGTACCCTGAAAATGACAAAGCAGTAGAGAAATGATTTAATCCTAGATCAAGGTCTACCAAGTTCAGCTACAGCAAGGCTCTGCCTTGGTTTTCTCATGTTTAAAATGCCATAACTTTTCATTGCAACTTTCTCTTTTTAAATGATTCCAATGTTTTAGTAAATAATGTGAAAATACATACTCCTGAAGAACTGTGAAATATCATACTCAACTACTTTACATGCCAAACAGATATCAAACTAAAAGCACCCATTACCCTCCGCAGGTATATCCCAGCTCTTGGAAAGTTATATCCTTAGTGAAAGGGAGAGAAACGGCGGTGCCAAGAAGCGTTTCCACGAACCCAACTGTCATGGAATACAGCTAGATACAAAAATACTGTATCTAGACATCTGATGATTGCTCATATCTTATTTTAAATCGTCTTTGTGTTTACAGCATGAGAAAAATAATTCTTAAGGGTAATAATAACAGAAAATTATTTTCACATACCAGTATAAATAATTAGCCAGTGTTGAGTTTTTGCAGGCTCTCGATATCAAGAAGGTACAGAGATCTTGCTGAAAGAATTAAAATAAATGTATTATACATCACCATCTACTATTAAGGGGGGAAAATAAGTAAGTCTACATTTGCCTATCAGTTTTCATCTGTGTATCTTATGTAACGGATCAGATTTTCTGCCATTTACCTACCCTTACATACACACATACAAAAATACTTTAAATCAGACAATATGCAAGTGGTTAGAATACTGCAGTTCAGAGAACTCCTTGTCCTCCTGGAGCTTCATATTGGTAGAGGAGAGAGACATTAAAAGAAATGGTCATAGAAATAATTTAGGTTGGGAGGTTAGAAAAGGCAGCAATGAAGGTATGACATTCAGGCAAGACCAAAATGACACTGGAAGACTCTAAGTTTGGCTTGTTCAAGGAATTTTAAGTAATGTAAATAAAATACAGTGAACACTGAAGAGACTGAAAAGATA